GACATTTGATGTTTTTTTCTTATACAAATCAATCATAGTTAGGATACCCTTCAGTGAACTTGGATGCTCATCCTTGACCCACAGCATTAGCGCCACATATCTAACTCGGGTGGAGTCTTTGGATGTTCTGCTGAAATCTCCAAACTCCGGCAGTCAAATTTATTTATTGTAACCTGATTGTTTGGGTTTCGTGATTCTGTTGCTCCCGCTGTAAAAAGGAAATAGCTGTCTTGCCCAATGGTTCGGAAACGGAACATGGGTTTAAAAAAATGTAATAAAACAAAAGCTAAACAGTTCTGTCTCTGTTTGATCTCAGTTCCCTCTGCCCTCTCAGGGCCGGCTAGCTGAGATGAGGGGCTGTCAACAAGCGGTAGAAAGAAAATGGCATTCGAACAGCCGACTAGCTGATAGAGTGATGAGCTTATCAGTCAAGCGCAGATCTCTGGGCGTCTTGTTTTTGCTGTTTGTGCGCAAGCATGTTGACAAAAAAGTTAGCGGGTAGGGAAATTGCCGTTTCAGAGTGTGTTTGTCTTTGGATGAACCTTTGAGATCAGTCAGTAAAAGACAAAGAATAATAATAAAGTTGGATTCTTGGACGTACAATAGCCCGATGATCTGGTGGGCTGGCTTTAACTCAAAGGGCTGCTCCTTTTGGGGCATGCACGTATCCCATGACCCTAATGTGTGGTGGATGGTGGATGTGTACAACATCTCAGTGAGAGTTTTTTGAGATATAGCAGCACTGTTGCACTCTGGAAACAATTACCAGGCAATAATCTTCACATTCTTTCATCTCACCACCAGCTCAGCTGATTAGGATATCCACTGGTTTGCGAGGCAAACCTCAAACATGCACGTACACACTTGCTGTTTTTTTTCCCTACCCTTCCTACTCATACAGCACAATACAGTACAGTACAGTAAATGGGCTCGCTCTTCTTTGGTTACTGACCAACTCTCTTTCCTTTCTCCCGCACACACTCACACACCTGACATCTGATTCCTGACTGATGATTAATGACCCCAGAAGTCTTTCAGCGGGGACCACCCAGGGTCAAAATAACCTGCCATAAATACAGAAGCAGTAAAATACCATTCAGTCGCCACTCTTCTATTTGCACATGCTGCAGCATCGTGTGTGTGTGTTTGTGTGTGTATACGTGTGCATGTGCACATAGGTGTGCCAAAGCCAGAAATCTGGACTTGTGACTGTGGAAACACTTAAAAATGTGCGCACACCTCTCTACCTCCAAACACCCCCTGCCTCTCCTCTTTCTGTCTCCAGTCATTTTAGTGCATGTGTGGCGCGTGTGAAGAAAGGGAGGGGAATTACTCCAACAACACCTTCCAAAATGCAGAACAATTCCTGCTATTCTCTCCTGAAACTCTTCTTGAATATTTTTGTTCACTCTCTTCTCTTCTTTTCCCCCGGTCTTCCCTTTCCCCAGTCCAACAGACGGAAGAATTACCCCAGCTGTCCTCTAATCTCCATAGAGAGCTTTTTCCCAGGGTGGAAACACTGTCATCCTTTTTCTCTCCACTCTCTCCCCTTCCCCCTTTTTATCAGTGTCAAATGATTACCCCAGGGGGAAACTGAGCTCGGCAACAATATGCATCAGGTGAGCCAAGAGGAGTCTAGCCACAAAAAAAAAATTCTCCTCCTCTACCCGCTCTATCCATCCACCTATCCATTCTTCTCGCTTCTCTACTCTCTTGTGCCCTCCCATAACCCCACCCACACTCTCCACCCTCATGCCAACTAAGGGCAGAGCCCCAAGCCCATCTCAGAGGAATTTCCTTGTTGAAATTCACATAAATTTCAGAGGCTTCAAGTTTTATCCACAGTGTGTGAAACTACTGAACCTCCAATAACTCTAGCATTCACTTTCCATTCCTCCCTTGCTTCTGTATGGCACCTTCTTTAAAAGTTTCTGTCTTTTCCTTTTTGGTTATCCTCTTCGCATTAGCTTTTTAATGTTTTTTGCATCTCTGTTGTGCTGCTTTATTATTCCCTTCTTGAAATTTCCTTTTCTTATGCCTTATCCCTTCCCTTCCTCCCTCACCAGCTTTTTTCACTCATCTTAAACTGCCTTGTGCAGGCACAGCCTGGTGAATGCCAGGCATTCCTTTGTAAGGTTAGAACAGACAAAGGTGGACCACATCACCTGAGAGAAAACGGCCCTTTTGAATTGTCGCACAAGGGAAAGAGAGGCTGATAGTGAATAAAAGAGGGACTATAGAAGTACAGGAGAAAAGAGCAGGATGGAAGAGAGGAACACCTGTCCTCTGTTGTCCTTGTGTGAACCTTCAACTCTGACCTTCGCTAATGGATATCAATGGCTTGTTTGAATAAAAGGGGCTTAGCTGAAGGAAAGTGCATTAGGTGTAGGTGCTCCTAATCCTGCTATGAAAAGTGAATGAACGCTGTGAATCAGAATAATGTCTCCAAACACTCTTAACCGTTACCCATGTTAGCTTATGCTATCAACGCAGTCACTGCCATACAATACTTCACTCAGAGAGTGACCACTGAATCGAATAAACAAGGTCATATTACAACCCCAAACTTAATTTCAATCAAGCTCAAAAGCAACTCCACCCTATAACACACTCCAGCCATTCACAGGACCCACACAAGGAACACACATGCTCAGTGCACCCCCAGACAAACTCCCTCCACCCTTAACACACCACCTTTGAGAACAGACCCCCAATACCTTAGCACATAGGGAGTCTATGTTTGGGCACACTAGGCGTGGTGTAGGGTGTAGTTTATCTGTGATGCCAACCTGTCCCTGATGTCTTATTTTGGGGGTTTCTGACCAACATCAAGAGCAAAGTGGGTCCGTGTGATGCAATGCAACGATTTTCCAGCCACTGTTTGTTTTTGTTCTTACTAATGGAATGGAGCGGAGGGGAAAAAGTGGAGTGAAAAAAGGCAAACTTATGACGACCAGGTGTTTTTTCCCTCTCCTCGGGAATGTTTCACCTTGTAAAAGCAAAGCGAGTGGGAGGGGGCTTTCGTACCATGCTATAGTGGTGAGTGGTGTGGGGACTTTTCAGGGGGTGAGTGTAGGCTGACCAAATGAGTGAACATAAGCGTTTGTTTTGTGTCTGTGTGAGAGTATTAGAAGGTTAGCTGAGATTTGTTGATGAGCCCGAGGTGGAATTCTTCAGTGCAACTGTACCATGGCCATAACTGGAAGAGGCGGAGGCTTTCTTGTGGTTGTGTGCGAGCCTCCGCCGACTGATTTTTTTTTGCCCCATTGAGCTACAAACAGCGATCACTTGTGCGGCGGGGCGTGATCAACAAGCGGCACGCATGCACGCAGAAACACATACACCTGGGGAGGGGAATGAATGACAGGCCTAACTACTACACAGGGTTCCTATTGATGACATCATTACTGGGCATATGGTTACTCCACCCTTTATATGTTCAGAGGACCATTCAACTTGCACCATGGCTCTTTCAAAGGAATGACGCCTGTTGCTTTTTTTTTTTTAATTATTCAATTTGGTCGGCTCCAGTCGTGAAAAGGATACTTATTTTAGCTGATCACGATGGCACTTATGGCAATTATCAGCAGTCAGCAACATTTATGACCATCCATCACTGCCGATGTCTCCTTTTTAGCCCTCTCATGCACGTCTAATCACTTTGCTATCTTGATATTTGCTCAAAAGAGTGCAAATAAAATGCATAAAACCCCATTTGCACTATAAATTTTGCCATAATGGCACCCTTCAAAAAGCAGATCCCCATTAAATATTATAATAATGATCCAAATATGCCCTTTTGAGACGCTCTCATGCAAGGAAAAGCTGACTTCAGCCCGACTTTGCTTCTAAAAGTTGGTCGATTACACAGTCTGGGGACGTTTATTACTCCTCATGTGCAAAACATGAATGAGAGAAAGTGCCGTGGGGCTGCCAACTTTTGACAACTCTCTGTTACTTGCAGAGTGACTGAAGCAATGAATCAGTGGATGCTGCCGAAATGACAGAGCCTTAAATAAACCAGTAACTGGCACAACGTCATAATGAGGGGAAGAACTTGGGCAACTCTAAAATCCTCTTTATTGTTTCTCCCTCTCTCTCTCTCTTTCCTCTTGGTGCGGATCTGTTTGGAATCCCAGTCTCTATCTGATCTTTAAATCAGCCAGTGGCTCTGTCCCAGTAGGTCTTTCAGGAAAAGGCTAGGCCAGCTTTCCTCCCAGTGTATCCAATCAGAAGCGTGGAACAGCATGCTCGTCAAGGTCCACTACCATAGCAAAGAGCCAGCTAGCACGCTGCCAGTTAAACACTGAATGCTAAGTCTGTTTTGATCCTACTAAGTTGCTGCTGTGTGGGAAGTAACCTGTACTAAATGATAAGGGATGGCTGTGGCTCATCCAGGTTGTTAGCAAACATCCAAAACATTACCAGTTTTCATGAGAATTTGCTTATTTTCCCGGCAATCGCCTGGCACGCTTCAAAGACGAGGAATAGTTGATACTTGTAATACGTGCCACGAATAGATGAGGCGGACTAAAGAAATGTAAAAAGATGTGATTAACCGCACTATGGTGATCAAAATGAAGAAAGTGGCACCATGTGACAACTGCACACGACCTACAGCAGGTTTTAGGTGATGGTGCAATGCCGCTTTGAGCCTTACCGTTGTCCACTGTCATGTCATCCACAGACTTTATCAATAAAGCTGCAAAAGAAATAAAGCATAAGCTGGATCTCATTTGAAAGACTGATTTGTGATCATGTTTCAAAACATTAAAGAGGATAAAAAGGCAGCGTGATTTCCTGGAGGTGAGTTTGGGAAGGCGAGCAGAACAGTGAGAAACAGAACATGAGACGCCTTCGAATTCCCCTCTTCTCGTGTTTTTTTGTTCCCCTTCCCTCCTCTTCATCCTACCCCACCCCTCTCTGCGCGGCTGCTACCCCACCCCATCCTGCTCACTCCCCTCCTTCTTCACTGCAGCCAGCCACAGACACTTGCTTTTTGTATCAAGGGGGCTAACCCAATGAACAATCCTGTCTGTCTTTCCCAAAATAAGCTGGTGGGAGAGGGATCGCGTAGTAAGCCAGAGAGATTGGAGCAGCGAGGTGCACAGCCCCCCCCGCCCCACCTCGGGTTATAAGTCCTTGGAGTGGGAGCACAACCTGCTTGGATCCAGATACACTGCCTGCCTGCCTGACTGACCTGAGTGACTAACTGACTGAGTTCCACTTCACTGCTACTCACTCTCTCTCCCTCTGTGTCCTGCTCCCTTGCTCCTTCCCTCCTACTTTCCACCCTGGAGAGCAAGAGCGCACAGATTGGGAAGGTGTTCCTCAGACCTGCGTCTGGACAGCTCGAAGACGACACAGAGAGGACGTTTCCCCATTCTCACCCTTTCATCACCTCTGTCACTTTTGCCACCTCTGCCCCCCCAAAAAGTACATGGATAGAACTTTTTTTCTTTCTCCCTTCCTTCCTTTTTGTTTGTTTTTGTTTTTGCTGGAAGCAGAAAATTAAAAGTTTTGCAGACAGTTATCTCAACCTGCAGTTGAAGATTTTCAGTTTTTAACTTTTGCATTTTGTTTTTTTTTCTTTTCTTTTCCTTTTTATTGTTTGCTTGTTATTCTTGCACCTGCGAGCAGCGCTGGACCAATTCCGAGTGCCAGATCTTTGCCCAGGAGGACCCTACTTGTTTGCTGAAAACCTGATGCCATCACATCCCATGGGAGACACGAGTGGCTGAAGGAGGGAGGTAGAAGAGACCCTGAACCACCTGACGCACACACCTAACACTGCCCTTGCCCAGCGATCCTCCCCCCCACCCCTGCTCTCCTCCACCGAGTCTCTGAGGAAAGAAAGGTAAGCAGGTTTCCTCTGAATCCGTTAGCATCCTCGTGGCCTGTCATCTCTTTTCTTTTTTGTGCCTGAGGTGGCTAAAAGCAATTAAGAGAGAGAGCGGGAAAGGAGGAAAAACAGATTCCATTTGTTAGTCATGGGACTTGCATAATTCTCCTCAGTCCTAAGCCAGCGCACAGCGTAACAACTTGCAGACTAAAAAGAACTGAGCACACCAAAAGCACACTCAAGTGTTCCACTCACACTGTGTGGACGCTGATTTTTATATAAAATTTGTAGCTGCGCACCGTCTGTTGATCTTTGAGTGTCCCGTGAGATCGATGATCTGGACTGTTGCTTTGTGTATGTGAGTTTGAGATCTGGGCTAAGACACTGTTGATGCATCCATGCCCATACATCTGGGACTTTAGTTGATGATGTTGAAGGGGGCGTGGTGTGCATTGCAAGTGTGTATCGGGGGCTTGGCTGTGCAGCAGGATATGTTCAAGGTTACAGATGTAACAAGGGTGTCCTCCATGTGGATGGATCTGTGTTTTCTGTGTAATGCAATAGCTGCTCTTAATCATATAATGATTGGTATGTGCAAGTGCAAAGGAAGATTGCAAACGCACACAAAACGCACACATGCTCTTCTCTTCTCTGCTCTGTCCATCCACTGTGATACCTCTGGCAGGCGACACTGCATTCCTTTGTAACGGCATCCTTCCATCGCAAACAGAGAGAGGACAGACAGTTGTGACTCCGAGCCCTTGGGTGTACTGCACGACAAACTAGCAGGGATAGATAGAGAAAAAATGCAAGCTCTGTTGAAGAGATACATTTTTGATCACATGTGTTTTAGTGCACCAGCAGCAGCAGCGGCGGCGGCAGTGGCTTGTGGTGGCAGCAGTAGAGTTTCTTTGCAAAGGAAGGAGGGGAGGTAGAAAAATATACAGAGTAAGAGAGGTGTAGAGAGAGAGTAAGAGACAAAAAAGTGGAGGGGGGGAGTCTGGAAAAGACAGCGGTCAGGAAATCTGAAATCCAAAAACATTTGGCAGCATCCCTCTACTTTGCTGGCCTACGGCAAGAAAAGTCTACTAAACGTGTACCTGTGTGTATGTGTGAGTGTGTGTGCTGGTATGTGTGCACACATGCTTGCCCTAATGTGACTGGATCTCCACTAGAGTGTGTAAACAATCGTATGGGACACACACTGGAGTGTGAGCGCTCTTCTTTGTTGGTGAGCAACAACAGGAGTGTGCAGAGCTGCTGGTGTGCAGCAGTGAGCCAGCTTCCAGTCAGCTTTCCACACGTGCATGGCTTTGTTTCGATTAAAGAATTGATAGATTAAAAGATTTACATTCCTCTCAACTTCTTCAAGAATTAACGGTCTGTTTTGTGTTCAGCGCTTGACAAAACCTGGGCTAAATGACTTTCACCGATTTGCACCCTCCAGTGGGCGGCGACTGGTCAGTTAGTGGCTGACTTGTGGTTACAAGCAGCTCAAGTGTGTTTTTTGTGTGTAGTGCATTATATAACCACAGTTACCAGACTCCAACCAGCTGCCCATGCAGACCTTTGATACAGAGTGCCAAAAGTGTGACCAAGCATACACAAGCAACAGTCACGCTGGATACACAGCGGCACACACGGCACACTTTATGCCCCGTGTAAAGCAAACACCTCCATGTGGATTTACACCTCACACACACACACACACACACACACACACACACACACACACACACACACACACACACACGTTTCCAACAGATGAACATACTCGACTGTCAGCGCTGCTGCCAGACTGCCTGCTCATATACTGCTGAGCTTCTCATCCCCCACTGCATTCAGTTTATAGGCTGTAACATGTGACGTTTTTACACTCCAAACTCAACACCAGCTCTTGAATTTTTTCCCCCTCAGTAGTTTAAAGGGAATTTATTTATTTTCTTCCTTAAATGTTGCAGTAAAAGGATAAAGGACATCTTTGTGGATCTGTAAACTCTTGGGCGAGCTTTCATAGCCATTACAGCGGCACAGACCAGAGACAGCCAGCAGAAAACCTCTTCTCGGATGTCTCCCTCGTTACTAATACCCATCTGTTTTGCTAATGTCCTGTATTTGTGTGATCGAAGAGCAAAACAGAAGGATAATAAAAATAGAAATGTTGCTGTGCTGATGAACTGTGTCACCCTCTTGTAAAACAGTCCAAAGTGTGTGACCTCAAGGGGGCAGAATAGCAGGCAGTTTCAAAGACACCTGGCACTGTGTAGTTAAAAGCATACCTATTGTTCTCTCTGCTAATTTTCAAATGAATCTTTATTGAAACATGTTTAAGTAATCTTAAAAATATTATTCTTTTTATAAATTGCCTCACAACTCTGATAACATTCAAAGAGGTGTCCTAATTCACTGTTACAGTACAGCTGATCATAATTCATTTTCATTTTCGCTGACTTAGAGGAGGGGATATCCGCAGTCCATCACATCACTTACCAACTGTACTCAGTTTTCAGCCTCCCCTCTTGTGCTGTTAAATGATGCCAAACCACTTTTAGCAGACTGTATCAGTTTCATGTGCTAGATTGTGCTTCCTCGCAGTCCCTTTGTAGCCGTGGCTGTGTAAGCTTTTGCATGTGTGTTTGTGTTTGAGAGCGGGCAAGCACTTGTGGCTCTATTACTTTCAGTGCTAGCAGGAAATGAAGGAGAATGCCACTCATTTTCCAGCAAACGTAAACGCCCACCTTATTCCTACACACACACACACACACAAAATCACATGAATGGACACACATACAACTTCTCCCTGAGCCTTTTGAGTCACGGTCTTTTTGTTTGTCTGTGGTTTTATTATATAATCCTTATTTTTACTTTGTTCTTATGTTACTGGGGATTTTTCTTCTTTCATATCTGTTCCTTCTGTGTTCCTAGCTTTTTTGTTTGTTTGTTTGTTTTTTACAAGTACTTCCTATTTTATTTTGAAACTTCTTCTACAATTTTAGTTTGCTCTAGTGGTGTGGAATACTGCAAATTCTGGTACTGCAGATACCAATACCGATGCCGATACTTTTATCTTATATAGGCAGCTGATGCAGGGTAGAGCAATGTCTAATAACTTAAGAGATAATCATCAAGAGACCTGGAATGTAAGGTCTCTAAAGCACTTCGCGTCAGCTTCTGTTGTTTAAACGTGCTATAGGCTATAAATAAAACAGACGTGACAGTCAACACAAAAAGGTTCAGACATTTTTCATAGTTTGATATATATTTTTTTCATTTCCAAAAGAAAAATAAATTATTTAACACAAATCAGCAGGCGGCATACTGATCTCAGAGGATATTAGGCTACTATCGACTCTGATATCAATACTTAGATATTCGGATCCATCTGCCCACCTCTACTCTCCTCCTATCTTCCTGTTTCTGCCCTTGTTACTGTGTTGTTTGGGTTCACCTACGCCATATTATGCTTTTCTACCAGATGTGTGTATTTGTTAGGTTGTCTGCTTCCTTGCTCCCCTTCTGTTATTTTGTCGTCTCGTAAAGGTTAAAGATTTCCCTGCCCCCTTGTGAGCCTGGTTTAAAGTTCTTTTGTTCAGTATGCCAGCTGTTAGGTCAGCCTTAAGAACTTTCCTCCATGATTTTCCTAACATGACTTTGTGGTACACAAACAGACACAAATACTGTGCAGCACCCATTATGGGGAATGCTAACTGGTGCTGCTGATATACTGAATGCAGAATTCCAGTGAAAGATGGGAGAAACACTATACAGGTCCTGGTCTTGATCAGAGCCTGGCCCATAACATTAAAGATTAATTGGCTCGATTTGTTTTTCAGCTAATAGGGGAATTAGAAAAAGACACAGTGAAAGGCATGAACTTGTTTCCCTGTGCCGACGCATGGAGATTTGCATCCTGCCTCCTTTTGCTTCGTTTGACCTCGTGTGTTTATACTGTCTAAGCTTATTTGAACATCAACAGTAGCCATCTTGGCCCGCACATGCGAGCTGATATATGTGGAAGTCAGTTAGCTGAATGGCAGATAGTGAATCTGCGCAAACATACGGCCCTCCAGAGTGGATGGAACAGCATGTTATTAATCAGGCCCTTGTTTTGAAGGACATTGTTTTGGCTCTCAGCTCAGAGCTAGAGGACAGAAAGACGAGGAGAGGGGGAAAAAATGCAGTTTTCTCTCATTTGAGCTCTGTTTCATGTGGATTAGAATTTTGACAGCTTTGCTTATTTAGTTTTCTATTTGAATTATTCTCTGATTCATTTACCTGTTTCCCTTTATCTGTGTTTACCGATCTCCCACTCCTATTCCCTCATAACTGTGTCTGGACCAGAGGAAGTTTTTCCACTGTGCTGGCAGCAACAAGGGGATGGAGAAAGAGAGACGGGGGGAGAGCAAGCAGTGGGGAGGCTTGGCAAATGTGTTATTTTCCCTCCGCCTCCCATTGACTCTGTCAGCAGTGGTTCAATCTTTTAAAAAAAGAAAGCGTGCAAGCTCAAAGTAGCTTGACAACATACCCTTTTCGGCTATCAGAAGAAACTTATCAGTCATACAGCAGCAGGAGGAAACTGGCGGTGGCATTACTACCCCACCCCCCAACAGCCCCCTTTCTCCTTGACTTTTATCCAGTTGTTTTAGCATCTCTCCGTTTTCCCCATTTCTTTCCATCTTATTTTACTGGTTTAGTCTACAAATCCTTTTGGACTGAACCCCAACTCTTTACTGGGCTCAAACTAAAACCCCTGTGGTAAAGCAGTGCTCTTCCCCAATGCCAGACATTGCTTTTAGTCAGTGAGGCCTGAACAAAGCGCAGTGAGGAAACAAGCCGCGGACGGAATACGTATTGAGCAACAGCTTCCCGGAGTCACATCTATGTTTTTCCCGCCTGCCTCTGAGTGTTGTGGGATGACAGCTTGTGTTTCCAAAGGGAACCCAACAGGAACAAACAGGAATGAGAGCGTCGGTGCTCATCCAGCAACAGAGCTGTTTCTAGTTAATGAGATGTGA